GTCCAGTAACCCTCCAGCCTCTCCTGAGCTGCAGAGGCTCAGGGCAGAGAGGAGGAGGGAACTGGTTTCTCCCAGGAGGAGTGCTCGCCTTAAGGCCAGGAGAGGCGGGTCATCTGGGGGCCGGGACCGCCCCTGGCCTCAGAGAAGATAAAGGCCAGTCAGCCCGGTCCCAGGTTGCGGGAGCAACGTCGTTGAAGACCTGTTTCGGCCAGCACCCAGACCTGTTCTTCCAGAGTTCCCGTCCTTGCCCGGCTCCTCGCTTTGGACCCCGCTTCGCCCTTGGAGGACAGTCTACAGACCCTCGACCCAGGTCCCTGACCACGCCTCACGGTAACCTCCCCCCGGGACCAGCACACTAGCAAACTCCCCTTCTTGCAAGTCCAACGCACATTGTATCTCCGTTCTAAAAGTGTTGTAGTCCTGAGGCTTCCCCCCACACTTGTTCACCAGTGCTGGGACCTTCCTCCCAATTGGAGTAACTCTGACCTGGCTGTCTTGTGCCCGGCACTCCTCCAACCGGGCTGACAGAGTAGCAGCATGAGCCTCCAGGTCTCTGTTCCTCTCCATCAGGGCTCTCATTGTTTTCTCCTGCTCCGTCTCAGCACCTGTCCCTTTCTTGCTCATCGTGCTGCCTTTTTGCGGTTACCCCAGAGAAACTTCAGAGACTCACAGATTGCTGTTATGTGCCGGTGTGGTTGCTCGAGAGCAAACAGGCAAGACTCCAACCTGTCTTTTCCAGGCTTTATTACCTGTACTAAACTATTTACAGTGCAGAGCGTCACAAGTCCATGTCTTTTCAGTCACTAGCAGAATCTGGGAGTGGGCGGTCCTTATACCTTCCCCAGCATAACAGTCTTTTGACCCCCATCCTTCTCCTCCCCTCTCTGCGCTCAAACCGTCTGCGCAGAGAGGGCATTGGCAAAGGGGGACTTGCCTCCCCTCTGCTTTGCTCAGGCTCCGTGTTGCGGCTCTCTCTAACATCTTCTGATCCCTGCATCCCTTCCCCACTGGAGGCAGGGCTTCCCTCCTCGCCGGAGGAAGAGCTGCTTCGCACGATCTTCGGAGGCTCCCTGTAACACAACTGCCCTTCCACCTCTCGCCTCTGAGCTGATGGTAGTTCCCTGGCAGCAGCTGTGTAGTGCTGGCTGTGTGGAATCCAAGGCCACATACAGTGTGACTGCCCAAAGGCGAAAGGTAAACAGAAGAAGAAGCCTGCAGATGGCCTGAAGGGGGGGGGGGGCAAAAGCCCAGGCCAGTGCAGAACAAAGCTTTGTTTGCTAGCACTGCTTCTCCAAAGGCCAAAGGCCATTTTGTTGTGGACTCGGGAGCGAGCAGGCACGTATGCAGAAATCGACACTTGTTTATTTCCTTTACGCCACAAGAGGGAGAAATCCAGCAGGTTGATGTTAAGAAGTTGAGAATTGCAGGAGTCAGGACAGGGGAAATGGCCAGTCTGCACACCACCATCAGCAAAGTACTGTTTGTTGCAGATTCTGCAGACAATTTCCTCAGCATCCCACAGCTGACTGAGCAAGGCTTTGAGTTCCTTCAAGAAAGGAATCTGCATTATCAGAAAGAACAATCAGAACATTTTGCATGCTAAGCTTGCAGATGGTTTGTTCTTGATAACTTATGTTGACAATGCTGTTGATGTGCCTAATGTTGAATCTTGTTGTGTTGCACAGACTAACAAAGTTCTTCATTCAGGATGCATTCACGAACACCACCAGAAATTTGGTCACATGGCATGGCAGGCGCTGGCCAAGATGCCAGGGATGGTTCAAGGTATAACCATCAAACCCTGTAAGTTTCACATGAAATGTGTCTCTTGTGCAGAAAACAAAGTTAAGGTTGCACCCAAAGGCAAAGTGTCTAGCAGACAGGCTTCCAAACCCTATCAGCTAGTCCATGCAGACCTGGTTGGTCCACTTGCACCCTCTTTGGGTGGAGCAAGGTACTTCATGGTTCTAATTGATTCTTTTTGCAGGTATATCCATGTGTTCGTGCTGAAGCAGAAGTCAGAAGCATTTCCTAGGTTCAAGGCATTCTGTGCTTGGTTGGAAAATGTCCACAATAAATGCATTGGCTGTTTGTTTACTGATTGAGGCGGCGAATTCACTTCTCAGCAGTTTGAAGCTTTCCTGACTGAGAAGGGAATCCAGCATGACCTGTCAAGCCCCAAATCTCCATGGGAGAATGGACTTTGCGAGTGGGCGAAACAAACTTTGTTGCAAGGCCTAAAAACCTTGTTGCATGATGCCAATCTCCCTGAGCAATATTGTGTTGAATCGCTCTCATTTTGTTTACACGTATAATAGGAGACTGTCTTCATCTATTGGTTGTACTCCCTATGAGAAAATGTTTGGTAAGAAACCTTACGTCAAGCACATGAGAATCTTTGGTTCTGAAATGTGGTCCACACCCCACAGAGCAGCAAGCTTGGAAAACGTGGGACACATGGTTTGTTAATGGGGTACGAAAAAAGTGCATACAGGGTATTCATGACTGACACTAATGTTAGTTAAATTCAGCTCCGGTCCTCCGAGCTGATACGGCTCATCTTGGCTTGAGCCCAGCAGAGTATAACCCAGAGTCCGCAACGAAAGGATGAGACAGGTATGGCTACATTGCTACGCTTTATTGCTAAGCTATGCTGAGAGCATACAAATATACATCTTGTCTCTGTGAGAAGCAGAGAGCAACTCCAACAAAGAAACGACAGAACAAAGGAAACAGGAAACCAGTAAACGTCACATCCCGTCTCCCTTTCCCGTGGGAATCCAACAGTATCTGGACTGTGGAATGAAAACATAGTCCTGTGACTACCAGCAGCTGCTCAGTGAGGGAAACAGAAACCAACATCCTCCCCCTTTCTGTGAACATCACTGGGCAGCGTGTTCGTACAATATCAGTACAAACCCAACTTCTGCACATAGGTACAGTGTTGATCCCTTGGAACAACCTTGGACAATACATCAGCAGGAATTTCATTACCTGGCATGTAGGACACCGTTACGAGTCCTTTCTGAACACATTCCCTAGCATGTTGCAGCTTCAAATGCAAGTGTTTCGTGCTTTGCTTACAACCTTCAGAATTCAGCAAAGCCAAACATGCTTTGTTGTCCTGAAAAACCTGGATTGGACATTTGACAGGAATTCTCATGTCTTTGCACAACTGTAACAACCATTCACAATCCACCAGTGAATAAGACAGTGCATTCAGTTCAGCTTCACAAGTACTTAAGCTAACTGTTGTTTGCTTCTTGCATGACCAATCAAATAGACCCTGATTGTACATGTAGCAAACTCCAGACGTATTTTTCTTGTCACTTCCAAAACTTGCATCTGCAAATATCTCAAGACCACCAGACTTCTGATTGTTAAATCTCAGTCTGTAATGCATAGTGCCTTTTAAATAGTGTGCTATGCGTTTCAGGGCTTTCCAATCCTTAACCGTAGGATTGTTGACTTGTCTGCTTAGCAAATTACAGCTAACAGCAATGTCAGGTCTTGAACATCTGGCAATGAAGTTTAGTTTGCCTAGCACACTTCTGTACAGTGTAGTGTCAGAAAATGCTCCTTCAGTGTCATCTACCCGATAACCTGTTGTCATCGGTGTGTCTACAGGGTTAGCATCCATCAGGTTTAGTTTGCTTAACACATCAGCAATTTTCCGTGACTGGTGTACTAGAGTATTACCATCTTGGTCTCTCTCTATTTCCAGAGATAGGTAGTTGGTTACCTCACCAAGATATTTCATGTCAAAGTGCTCTTTCAGTTGAGCTAGGGCGTTATTATACATTGTGACATCCTTCCAAAAGAAAAGACTAAGACCATTCGGGTCACAAAGAGTGTGGAGTACAATCCCAAGTGGGGGGGGGGGGATGTGGGAATTTTCCAGAGTCACTCAGAAGATGATGATGAGGAAGCAGAAGAAGCTGAGGGTGATGATGATCAGAGTTCAGATTCCAGCTCAGTGGGCGGCACTGCTGCTGATGTCAGCGACAGTGATGACACAGCAGACTACAAGAGTGCAAAAGCCTCACTCAGACCATCTGATGGGTCTGACACTGAACTAGAAGAACCACTCTTCACCATTGGCCACCATTCTCCTAAGAAGGAGGAGATGAGCGCTGAAGACTTGCGTCTAGTACGCAGATCTGAAAGAGCCACAAAAGGCAAACCTCCAAAGAGATTTGCTGATGAGTTTGCTAAGACAGCAACTGCTGTTCTTAGTAGCTCAGAGAAGGTATGGGAACCATCAAGCTTCAAAGAGGTGCAGGAGTTAACCTCTAAAGATGCTGAACCATGGCTTAATGCCATGAAGTCTGAAATTGATTACTTGAATAGGAACAAAACCTGGGAGCTGGTGCCAACTGTTGGTTTCTGCTTTCCTTCACTGTGCAGCTCTGCTTGTCACGAGACAGGTGTTTACATTCCACAGTCTGTACTGTTGGAGTTTCTCACGGGAAAGGGAGACTGGATGTGACGTACACTGGTTTCCTGTTTTTCACTGTGTGATTCTCTCCGAGCTGTTGAGGAGAGAGGATGCATTTTCTGCTCCGGCAGAGGCAAGATGTCTTTCTGTAATATACCAGCTTTGAACTGTAAATAAAGCAATATAGAGTATGCAGCACGTATTCCTCATCCTTCCGCTGGGCACCAGACTCTGCTTTAAATCAACACGTGGTTATGGACTCCAGAAGTCGAATCGGAGTGCCGGCAAAGGATCGGAATGCAGAGGGACGGATCGGAACGGAATCTGCTCTGCGCGTAGAAGTGATTGATGAGGTATGTGCTACTGCTCCGGGCAGCCTGCCAGCTTCAAGTTAATGGCTTTATGGCTGGACTTTGAACTTTAAAGCCGGTTTTGCCGGGAATAGGCAAAAGGCTCCCAGGCACAAGTCACTATGCTGGGGAAATCGAAAGTAACTTTTAAGTGTGCCTTTGTAATAAGGCAGCTGCAGCAGTGACGCAGCAAGAATTAAAGCAGCATATATATGACGCTGAAGGCTAATGCCAGAGTCATGATGGCCCTTCAGGATGCTTGTGGGATTCCTAAGCTCAACAAGAAAAATTACAGCGACTGGGTTCAGTATGCAGAGGCAATTCTGCGGAAAGAGGGTTTGTTTGAGGTGATTACAGAAACCCCCAGTTCCAGTTACAGATGCATGGGAAGCTAAGGATTCCAAAGCAAGGGAACTCTTACATTGATAGTATCCCCAGAAGAGCTCTGTCTATTGCGTGATAAGACCTCAGCCAGAGAAATTTGGGACGCTTTGAGAGAGGCTCACTTAAGGACAGAAGCTGGATCCACTATGTTTTACTTTAACAAGCTGCACAATATGGCTCTTGCTGAAGGTGGAGATGTGCGTTTACATCTGATGGAGATGCAAAATCTGAGACATGAGCTGCAACAGAGAGGACTCAACTTTCCAGAGGCTGTGTATTCTTTCATGATACTACAATCTTTGGGTTCAGGTTGGGAGTCTGTTGCAACCCAGATTGCTGTGCAACCAACTGCTCAGCTGACAGTGGACTTTGTTACTGCCGTGATTTTAAATGAAGCAGATCGCCGGGGTGCTAGCTGCATGGGCAAGGGAGTCTTCACAGACGTCATCCCATAGTGCAGTGGAACCACCAGATGGCGCCAAAGCTTTGAAGGCAGTGAAATGCTACTCGTGTGGACGTCTAGGCCATATGAAGAGGGAATGCAGACATCCCAGGGCCAAGACAGAGCAGCGCAGCGAAGCTCATCGTGCGGAAAAGGCCGAGGCAAGGCAAAGGTCCGGTGTCTAGGACAACGCAGCACAAGGCTATGGTTTCACGCTTCACTCCAAAGGTTGCAGAGGTCCAGAAGACGTCTAGATCTTTCTTCGTTGTTGATTCAGCGGCCACCCACCACATGTGCAACGATAAGAGACTGTTTGTGTCTTTTACACCACAGGAAGGTGCGATTCACCAGGCGGATGACCACACTATTCCCAGTAAAGGCTACGGAACTGTTGTTCTTCACAGTCTGGACTTATCGATACAGAATGTGCTTTACGTGCCAGACGCCAAACATAATCTGCTCAGCGTTGGACAGCTGAATGAGCGGAACATTGACGTTTCCTTCAAGAACAAGAAGTGCATCATCACAAAGAAAAATGATTATGTATTGCATGCAGAATATGTTGATCATTTGTTTGTTTTGTATTATGATGATGTGGTGCAGGATGACACTTGTTGCATTGCAGGTTCTAACAAAAGTTTGCATGCAGAATGTATTCACGATTTTCATCGAAAATTTGGTCATTTGCATTTTGAGGCAGTATCTAAAATGCCTGCCTTGGTTGAAGGTATGACTATTAAACCCTGCAAGTACCACATGAAGTGCAAAGCATGCGCAGCAAACAAGGTGAAAATGGCTGCGAAAGGTAAGGTGTCTAGTAGGAAAGCTACAGAACCATACCAGGTTGTTCATGCTGATTTGGTTGGACCACTAGCGCCCTCTTTGGGTGGAAATAGATACTTCATGGTTCTCATTGATGCATTTTCTAGATATATTTTTGTGTACAATCTCAAGCAGAAATCGGAGGCTTTTCCTAGGTTCAAGGAATTCTGTGCTTGGTTGGAAAATGTGCATGGTAAGAAGATAAAGACTCTTTTCAGTGATCGCGGGGAAATTCACTTCTCAGCAGTTTGAAGCTTTTCTGACTGAGAAAGGAATTCAACACGAGTTGTCTAGTCCTCGCTCGCCATGGCAGAATGGACTTGCGGAACAGGCAAATCAAACATTGCTTCAAGGATTAAAAACCTTGCTGCATGATGCCAATCTTCCAGAGAGTTATTGGGCCGAATCTCTCTCGTGTTTTGTTTACAGTTACAATCGCAGGTTATCTTCAGCGATTGGTTGTACCCCCTATGAGAAGATGTTTGGCAAGAAGCCATACATCAAACACATGAAGATTTTGGTTCTGACATGTGGGTTCGCTCACCACAAAACTCCAAGTTAGACAAGCGTGGATTGCATGGTATCTTTCTAGGTTATCAGAAAGGGTCTTACAGAATAATGATGACTGACTCTAAGACAATTAAGCTCACGAGAAGTGTTGAGTACAATGCAAAGTGGGGGAGAATGTGGGAATTTTCCAATGTTATCCTGATGACGGTGATGAGACTGAGGATAGTCAAAGCAACCACAACAGCCCACACCCACTGATGAAGGTTCTGAGTCTGAATCTGAAACTGAATCGGATGATTCAGAGGATTTCGAGAGTGCGAAAGCCTCTATGCGACCCTCTGAAAGCTCTGATCAAGAATTGGAGGAACCATTGTTCACAATAGGTCGTTTTCTCCTAAGAAGGAAGAGGAGAGTGTTGAAGACTTAAGGCTAATTCGTAGGTCACAGAGAGCCACAAAAGGCAAACCTCCAAAGAGATTTGCTGATGAGTTTGCTAAGATAGCAGTAACAGCTGTTAAAAGCTCCAAGAAGGTATTTGAACCTTCAAGTTTCCAAGAAATCCAGGGTTTGGATTCGAAGGAAGCTGAGCCATGGTTAAATGCCATGAAGGCTGAGCTTGATTCCTTAGAAAGGAACAAAACATGGGAGCTAGTTCCAGTAGTTCCAGGAATGAAACTGCTTGGAAGCAAATGGGTCTTCAAAGCGAAGACAGATCAAAATGGCAAGATAGTCAGACACAAAGCCAGATTGGTAGCCAGAGGTTTTGCACAGGTACCAGGTCAAGACTATCACGAGACCTATTCACCCACAGTGAGATATGAAAGCATTAGGCTTATGCTCAAGCTAGCTGCAGAGGAAAATCTACACATTAGTCACCATGATATTAATACAGCTTTTCTGTACGGATCTCTAGATGAATCACTTTATATGCTTCCACCTGATGGCGTACAAGTAAAACAGGGATTTGTTTGTGCTCTGAAGAAATCCCTTTATGGTCTCAAACAAAGTGCACGGTGTTGGCACACAAAACTCACTGAAGTATTGTTTTCTCTAGGTTTTCAGCAAGGAAAGCTGATCCATGTGTATTTGTCAAAGAGGAGGGGCAAAAGAAACTGTACTGTTTGTTTTATGTTGATGATTTATTATTCTTTTGGAAAGATGTAGCAATGTACAATAACGCCCTAGCTCAACTGAAAAAGCACTTTGACATGAAAGATCTTGGTGAGGTAAACAACTACCTATCTCTGGAAATAGAGAGAGATCAAGATGGTAACATTCTAGTACACCAGTCACGGAAAATTGCTGATGTGTTAAGCAAACTAAATCTGATGGATGCTAACCCTGTAGACACACCGATGACAACAGGTTATCAGGTAGATGACACTGAAGAAGCATTTTCTGACACTACACTGTACAGGAGTGTGCTAGGCAAGCTAAACTTCATTGCCAGATGTTCAAGACCAGACATTGCTGTTAGCTGTAATTTGCTAAGCAGACAAGTCAACAATCCTAGTGTCAAGCATTGGAAAGCTCTGAAACGCATAGCGCGGTATTTGAAAGGCACTATGCATTACAGACTGAGATTTAACAATCAGAAGTCTGGTGGTCTTGAGATATTTGCAGATGCAAGTTTTGGAAGTGACGCTACAGACAGGAAAAGTACGTCTGGAGTTTGCTATACGTACAATCAGAGTCTGTTTGATTGGTCATGCAAGAAGCAAACAACAGTTAGCTTAAGTACTTGTGAAGCCGAACTGAATGCACTGTCTTATTCACTTAAGGATTGTGAATGGTTAGTACAATTGTGCAAAGATATGAAAATTCCTGTCAAATGTCCAATCCAGGTTTACCAGGACAACAAAGCATGTTTGGCTTTGCTGAAGTCTGAAGGTTGTGAGCAAAGCACAAAGCACTTGCAATTAAAGTTGCAGCATGCTAGGAATGTATTCAGAAGGACTCGTAACGGTGTCCTATATGCCAGGTAATGAAATTCCTGCTGATGTATTGTCCAAGATTGTATCAAGGGATCAACACTGTACCTATGTGCAGAAGTTGGGTTTGTACTGATATTGTGCAAACACGCTGCCCAGTGATGTTCACAGAAAGGGGAGGATGTTGGTTTCTGCTTTCCTTCACTGTGCAGCTCTGCTTGTCACGAGACAGGTGTTTACATTCCACAGTCTGTACTGTTGGAGTTTCTCACGGGAAAGGGAGACTGGATGTGACGTACACTGGTTTCCTGTTTTTCACTGTGTGATTCTCTCCGAGCTGTTGAGGAGAGAGGATGCATTTTTCTGCTCCGGCAGAGGCAAGATGTCTTTCTGTAATATACCAGCTTTGAACTGTAAATAAAGCAATATAGAGTATGCAGCACGTATTCCTCATCCTTCCGCTGGGCACCAGACTCTGCTTTAAATCAACAGGAATGAGGCTGGTGGATAGCAAATGGGTCTTTAAGGCCAAGACAGACCAGACTGGCAAGGTTGTCAGGCACAAAGCCAGATTGATCGCCAGAGGTTTTTCACAGGTACCAGGACAGGATTACCATGAGACCTACTCACCCACCTACTCACCCACCATCAAGTATGAGAGAATTAGGCTAATGCTCAAGATTGCTGCAGAAGAGAAACTTCCCGTTTCTCATCACGGTGTAAATGCAGCGTTTTTGTACGGGATTTTGGCAGAGGAGCTGTATATGGATCCACCTGATGGAGTGCAGGTACAGAAGGGAATGGTCTGTGTTGGGTGTAGTGAAGGGTTAACCTTCTGTGTCTCGAGGCTGAGAGGAGGCGCTTACAAGGGAAGTAAGCCAGGACGTGACGAAAGCAGCTTGGAATGCTGTGAGCTGAGTGCAAAGTGAAAGCAGTTTTGTTGCGTAGCTGCAAAGAGAGGGAGAAGATGCAGCTTGATTCTGATGGCAGTTATTGATTGTAAATATGCTACTTTTGAGCAAATAAAGGGATATTAGGACAGAAGAAACGTGTGGGACTTGATTACTGCTCTTTCGACACACACCACTGCGTAATTCTGCTAATTGCTTTACGACCGCTACAAAGCCACCCTGCGTAAACAGAAGCTACAGAGGCTCGCAGGGGAAGCGTGGCTGGGCACCGAACAATAAAGCAATAAATCTACCGAACAAAGGTTATGGGTCAACGCGAAGCGTGTGAGAAAGGGCTTTGAAGCTTTATTTGCTGAACGTCGGCTTGATCGACTGCCAAGACTTCAAAGGGCAGATCGGAGGAGGCTGACGGAGTGGGAGCTAGGAGCCACGTCGTCCGGAGTGCCCGGTTTGGCTGCTGAGTGAGTACTTTTGCAAAAGGCCAACAGAAGGGAGGCAATGGCTCAGCCTCGTGGACATGGCTTTGAGTTTAAACTGCCATGTCAGAAACTGACTAGCCAAAGTTGGCTGCAGTGGAGCTTTCAAGTGGAGCTTTTGCTGGTGGGGGATCAGCTTTGGGACGTAGTCCAGCCCCCACAGAATGCAGCTGGGAAAGCAGAGGCTAAGAGGGCTGCAGAGCAAAGTGAAGTTGAGAAGCGTGTGCTTGCTTTTTTGGCAGAAAATGTGGATGCTCAGCTGGTGGCTGTTGTCCTGGGTGCAAGAAGGCCAGAGGCCGCTTGACTAGCACTCTGAGAAGCTTGTGGAGCTGGGGTGGGAAGCAAGGGCCAAGAAGTTGCTGCATCCGAAAGGGAGAGGCAAGATGGCGACGGCCACATTCTTGAGAGCCGATACACAGCTGGGAGGAGCTGGGAGCCCCCACGGGGGGGCGAAGGGACTGTTGCTGTTGCTAGCAATGCTGCTGGTGCTTTTGCTGAGCCTGGGAGCTGTTTGGATGCTGTAACGTGTCTGTGTGAGGAACCTGGAGAGAGGCCAAGTGTTGGGAGCCCTTTACCCATCAGAGGGGGTGCAGGAAAACGTCCTGGAGGCCCCATGAGCAGTGGGGGGGGCCAGTGAGCAGTGAAAGATCAGAGACGCCTCTTTCTCCAAAAGCTGCCAAGAGTTGTTTACGTCGTGAGTCAGAGCCTGGGAAGCTGAAAAGAGCTGGAGGTTTCAAGGCCGGCTACCTGCAGCAAGTAGAGATAAGAGCTGTGGAGTTGTGTGGGAACGCCGAGACAAGTCCAGTCTCCATGGCAACTGAGAGAGTTGCATCTACGGAAGCTGTGAAGGTCGTGGGCAAGTCTTCCTGCCGGGGGGAGTCTGTTGCCGTGACAACCAGAGAGGACACCTGCAGAAGCCCCAAGGAGGGGGGTAGCGAGGAGATTGTTGCCCTGGCGACCCAGGAATGTCAACAACAAAACTTTCTCACTGTAATAATCGACAGTGGTGCCTCAAACGCATTGGTGCCATCTCCTGGTCTTTTGAGGAATTGCAGGACAGTAAAAACTGAGAAATTTGTGACGATTGCAGATGGAAGCAGAAAAAGACTAACAGAGACAGGCTTTTTCTTCTGTCCCTTTCTTAAGCATGAAGTCAAAGCTTATGCAGTGCCCGGTTTAACTAACTGTTTATTAAGTGTGCATGATTTACTCGTTGATGGTTTTCATGTCTCTTTTGCAGGTGACAAATGTGAATTCTCCAAGGATGGGAAACACGTGTACACAGTGCAGTCTAAAGATAATTTGTTTGCTGTAAATGTGCCTTTTTCCACAGGAGAGGATGACACCGAAGATGCGAAGGGCCAATGTGTGGATGTAGCGCCCCACCATGGTTGTTCACATATTTGGCACCGACGCTTCGCCCATTTGAATTGGAGATATCTCCAGAAAGCACCAGAGCTGACGCAAGGGTGCAAATTTAATGTTTGTGACAAATTTTTAGATTGCAATGCATGTAAACAGGCGAAAATTGTGACATGCTCATATCCAAAGTCAGAAAGGCAGACCACACAACCCTTTGAATTAATTCATGCAGATCTGTGTGGGCCCATGTCAGTTGAGTCACTGGGAGGATCAAAGTATTCTCTGCTTTTGATTGATGATTTTTCGAGGTCTGCTTGGACCTTCTCTCTGAAAACGAAAGGGGAGGCGGCGAAAATGATCAGGGATTGGATCACCGCAGTTGAGGTAACTTTTTCCACCAAAGTTCGTGGTTTTCAAAGTGACAGAGGTTCTGAATTCACTGGTTCTGCTTTACAGGATTTCTTTAGGGAGAAGGGGATTAGCCACCGTTTGACCGCTCCTTACTCTCCGCAACAGAATGGGCTGGCAGAGAGAAAGAACAGGACGGTGGAGGAAGCTGTGTCTGCGATCCTGTGGGACGCAGGGCTACCCCAGAAATATTGGTCTGAAGCTTGGAGATTTGTGGTCCATACGCAGAATAGAGTGTACAACTCTAGTGTAGGAAACACACCGTATTTCTTAATGCATGGAAAGAAGCCTAAGGTACACTACCTTCGTGTGTTTGGTTGTGAGGCTTGGGTGCTTATTCCAAAGGCTCTATGCAAGAAAGGTGAGTCGAGATCTAAAAGAATGATCTTTGTAGGGTATGAGCCTGGCTCAAAGGCCTGGCGGTTTGCGTACCCAAGTGGAAACCAGTCTAGGTTGGTTATCAGCAATAGCGCTGAATTCTGTGAGCAAGCCAGTTGGAAACTTCTGCACGCTAATCCAGACGTAATTCCACGGCAGTTCTATAACTCAGATGTTGAGGAGGAAGAGGAACTTGTTGCTGGGGACCACAGTCCAGAGCAACAGGATCCACCACAGGGACAGAGTTCAAGGCAGGGACAGCTCAGGATCCCTCAGAGGGGGGAACCTAGAACACCTCCTCAGGCAAGTGTCATGTTTGAGCCAAAGAGTGAGCCTTCTTCACCTGCTGGACCAGCTGTAAGGCCCAAGAGGCGCAGCAGGTCAGAAGGGGAAGACACTGAAGTTGAGGATGATTTAGCTGGACCCAGTGAAGCAGCAGGGTCACCAGGATTCACACTGAGGAGATCAGCGAGGACAAGGAGGCCTCCTGATCGGTACGGCGCTTCAGGCGTCTGGGTAGGTTCTGCAAGATGTGAACCTGAATCCTTCGAGGATATTCAGAGTTTACCTGAGGAAGAAGCAGGCAAGTGGCACAGGGCAATGGACAAAGAGATGAAGTCCATGAAAGATCTAGGTGTGTTCTCACTCACAGAGTTGCCACCGGGCAAGCAGGCTGTGAGTTGCAGGTGGGTTTACCGCTTGAAACCCACTAACACTGGAGAGCCACAATATAAAGCCAGGTTAGTTGCTCGAGGATTTACTCAGAGGAAGGGAATACACTTCACGGAGATGTATTCGCCAACGTCACGAGCGGAGACTCTGAGAACGCTTTTAGCTTGTGCAGCACAGAGAGGCTGGAAAGTAAACCACTTTGATGTGGATGTTGCCTACCTTAACTCAGATCTCCAGGAGGAGCTGTACATGATTCCTCCTCCGGGGTTTGAGAACTTAAGGCAGGATGTTGTGTGGAGACTGCACAAATCCATCTATGGATTACGTCAATCTGCTAGAAACTGGAACATGTGCCTGAATGAAGCCTTAAAAGAGCTAGGTTTCAGGAGAAGTGTTGCTGATAGTTGCTTTTATTTGAGAGGATCAGGAACAACACAAGAGTATTTGCAGATTTGGGTTGATGACTTGTTATTCTTCTCAGAAACAGATGAACAGGCGGAGAAGTTTGCCAAAGAGCTAGGTAAACGATTCAAGCTTAAACAGCTTGGTGCTGTCAAAACCTATCTAGGTATCAGTGTTGAGCGTGCACAGGATGGAAGCTTCTTGCTCAGCCAGAGAGGTAAAATTGAGCAATTGCTTCAGAAAATGAGGATGAGTGATTGTGCAGGAGTGAGAAGTCCTATGGAGACTAGTTTTGTGAAGGACAGCCAGCAAGTAGAACGCACTGCGTTTGAAAATACTGAAGTGTTTCAGTCAGCCCTAGGGAGTTTGTTGTACTTGTCCCAGTGGAGCAGACCTGATATAGCGTTTGCTGTCAATCTGCTCAGCAGGGAAGCTTCAAACCCTAGTGTGCAAGCCTGGAATGGCATCAAGAGAGTTCTGAGGTATTTGCAGGAGACCAAAGACTTTTGTCTTAGGTTGCCAGCACAAGGAGAAGTCTAACTGACTTGTTTTGTGGACTCAGATTGGGCTAATCTTGAGGATCGCAAGTCTGTGTCTAGCCTAGTGGTGAAGTTTGGGAACTCAGTAGTTGGATGGAGGTCCAAGAAGCAAAGTCTTATAGCGCTCTCATCCACTGAGGCTGAGTTTAGTGCTCTTTCAGAGGTGTGCAGAGAAGTAGAGTTCTATGCTTGCTTGGTGCAGGAACTCTGCGAAGTGGATTGTCTGCCGATACGTGTTTTCGAGGACAATTAACCATGCCTGCGTATGGCAGAGTCAGGTCAGTTCAAGGCCACAACTAAACACCTAGACATTTGCTTTCGGAATGTGTGCCAGAGTGTTCAGGAGGGATTAGTTGCGCTGAAGTATTGTCCCTCTGCCAAGAACCTAGCTGATGGGTTCACGAAGCCACTCACCTTCCAAAGACATGGGGAGTTTTGCGAAGGTCTGGGTTTGGGACGACCAAGGGTCGATTCTCCCCTCAGGCGCGAGACAAGAGGGGGTGTTGGGTGTAGTGAAGGGTTAACCTTCTGTGTCTCGAGGCTGAGAGGAGGCGCTTACAAGGGAAGTAAGCCAGGACGTGACGAAAGCAGCTTGGAATGCTGTGAGCTGAGTGCAAAGTGAAAGCAGTTTTGTTGTGTAGCTGCAAAGAGAGGGAGAAGATGCAGCTTGATTCTGATGGCAGTTATTGATTGTAAATATGCTACTTTTGAGCAAATAAAGGGATATTAGGGCAGAAGAAACGTGTGGGACTTGATTACTGCTCTTTCGACACACACCGCTGCGTAATTCTGCTAATTGCATTACGACCGCTATAAAGCCACCCTGCGTAAACAGAAGCTACAGAGGCTCGCAGGGGAAGCGTAGCTGGGTGCCTAACAATAAAGCAATAAATCTACGGAACAGTCTGTAAGCTACAGAAGTCTCTATATGGTCTCAAGCAGAGTGCCAGGTTTTGGAACACAAAACTCACTGAGGCATTGCTTTCTCTAGGTTTTCACCAAGGTAAAGCTGATCCATGTGTGTTTGTCAAGGAGGAGGGGCAAAACAAACTGTATTGTTTATGCTTTGTAGATGACATGCTTCTTTTCTAGAACAATCAGGCTTTGTGCCAAAGCACCCTAGCTCAGCTGAAGGAGCACTTTGACATGAAGGATCTTGGTGAGGTATCCAACTATCTTTCTCTGCATGTGGAGAAGGACCAGGCAGGTAATTTTCTGGTACACCAAACACAGAAGATTGCTGATGTATTAACCAGGCTGAATTTGGTTGATGCAAACCCAGCAGACATGCCGATGGTGACAGGTTACCAGGTAGATGGTACTGCTGAAGCATTTTCTGACACCACACTGTACAGATGCATTCTAGGCGAACTGAATTTCATTGCTAGATGTTCAAGACCTGACTGTTGGTTTCTGCTTTCCTTCACTGTGCAGCTCTGCTTGTCACGAGACAGGTGTTTACATTCCACAGTCTGTACTGTTGGAGTTTCTCACGGGAAAGGGAGACTGGATGTGACGTACACTGGTTTCCTGTTTTTCACTGTGTGATTCTCTCCGAGCTGTCGAGGAGAGAGGATGCATTTTCTGCTCCGGCAGAGGCAAGATGTCTTTCTGTAATATACCAGCTTTGAACTGTAAATAAAGCAATATAGAGTATGCAGCACGTATTCCTCATCCTTCCGCTGGGCACCAGACTCTGCTTTAAATCAACACGTGGTTATGGGCTCCAGAAGTCGAGATCGGAGTACCGGCAAAGGATCGGAATGCAGAGGAACAGATCGGAACGGAATCTGCTCTGCGCGTAGAGGTGATTGATGAGGTATGTGCTACTGCTCCGGGCAGCCTGCCAGCTTCAAGTTAATGGCTTTATGGCTGGACTTTGAACTTTTAAAGCCGGTTTTGCCGGGAATAGGCAAAAGGCTCCCAGGCACAAGTCACTATGCTGGGGAAATCAAAAGTAACTTTTAAGTGCGCTTTGTAATAAGGCAGCTGCAGCGGTGACGCAGCAAGATTTAAAGCAGCATATGACGCTGAAGGCTAATGCCAGAGTCATGATGGCCCTTCAGGATGCTTGTGGGATTCCTAAGCTCAACAAGAAAAATTACAGCGACTGGGTTCAGTATGCAGAGGCAATTCTGCGGAAAGAGGGTTTGTTTGAGGTGATTACAGGAACCCCCAGTTCCAGTTACAGATGCATGGGAAGCTAAGGATTCCAAAGCAAGGGAACTCTTACATTGATAGTATCCCCAGAAGAGCTCTGTCTATTGCGTGATAAGACCTCAGCCAGAGAAATTTGGGACGCTTTGAGAGAGGCTCACTTAAGGACAGAAGCTGGATCCACTATGTTTTACTTTAACAAGCTGCATAATATGGCTCTTGCTGAAGGTGGAGATGTGCGTTTACATCTGATGGAGATGCAAAATCTGAGACATGAGCTGCAACAGAGAGGACTCAACTTTCCAGAGGCTGTGTATTCTTTCATGATACTACAATCTTTGGGTTCAGGTTGGGAGTCTGTTGCAACCCAGATTGCTGTGCAACCAACTGCTCAGCTGACAGTGGACTTTGTTACTGCCGTGATTTTAAATGAAGCAGATCGCCGGGGTGCTAGCTGCATGGGCAAGGGAGTCTTCACAGACGTCATCCCATAGTGCAGTGGAACCACCAGATGGCGCCAAAGCTTTGAAGGCAGTGAAATGCTACTCGTGTGGACGTCTAGGCCATATGAAGAGGGAATGCAGACATCCCAGGGCCAAGACAGAGCAGCGCAGCGAAAGCTCATCGCGCGGAAAAGGCCGAGGCAAAGGCAAAGGTCCGGTGTCTAGGACAACGCAGCACAAGGCTATGGTTTCACGCTTCACTCCAAAGGTTGCAGAGGTCCAGAAGACGTCTAGATCTTTCTTCGTTGTTGATTCAGCGGCCACCCACCACATGTGCAACGATAAGAAACTGTTTGTGTCTTTTACACCGCAGGAAGGTGCGATTCACCAGGCGGATGACCACACTATTCCCAGTAAAGGCTACGGAACTGTTGTTCTTCACAGTTTGGACTTATCGATACAGAATGTGCTTTACGTGCCAGACGCCAAACATAATCTGCTCAGCGTTGGACAGCTGAATGAGCGGAACATTGATGTTTCCTTCAAGAACAAGAAGTGCATCATCACAAAGAAAAATGATTATGTATTGCATGCAGAATATGTTGATCATTTGTTTGTTTTGTATTATGATGATGTGGTGCAGGATGACACTTGTTGCATTGCAGGTTCTAACAAAAGTTTGCATGCAGAATGTATTCACGATTTTCATAGAAAATTTGGTCATTTGCATTTTGAGGCAGTATCTAAAATGCCTGCCTTGGTTGAAGGTATGACTATTAAACCCTGCAGGTACCACATGAAGTGCAAAGCATGCGCAGCAAACAAAGTGAAAATGGCTGCGAAAGGTAAGGTGTCTAGTAGGAAAGCTACAGAACCATACCAGGTTGTTCATGCTGATTTGGTTGGACCACTAGCGCCCTCTTTGGGTGGAAATAGATACTTCATGGTTCTCATTGATGCATTTTCTAGATATATTTTTGTGTACAATCTCAAGCAGAAATCGGAGGCTTTTCCTAGGTTCAAGGAATTCTGTGCTTGGTTGGAAAATGTGCATGGTAAGAAGATAAAGACTCTTTTCAGTGATCGCGGGGAATTCACTTCTCAGCAGTTTGAAGCTTTTCTGACTGAGAAAGGAATTCAACACGATTTGTCTAGTCCTCGCTCGCCATGGCAGAATGGACTTGCGGAGCAGGCAAATCAAACATTGCTTCAAGGATTAAAAACCTTGCTGCATGATGCCAATCTTCCAGAGAGTTATTGGGCCGAATCTCTCTCGTGTTTTGTTTACAGTTACAATCGCAGGTTATCTTCAGCGATTGGTTGTACCCCCTATGAGAAGATGTTTGGCAAGAAGCCATACATCAAACACATGAAGATTTTTGGTTCTGACATGTGGGTTCGCTCACCACAAAACTCCAAGTTAGACAAGCGTGGATTGCATGGTATCTTTCTAGGTTATCAGAAAGGGTCTTACAGAATAATGATGACTGACTCTAAGACAATTAAGCTCACGAGAAGTGTTGAGTACAATGCAAAGTGGGGGAGAATGTGGGAATTTTCCAATGTTATCCTGATGACGGTGATGAGACTGAGGATAGTCAAAGCAACCACAACAGCCCACACCCACTGATGAAGGTTCTGAGTCTGAATCTGAAACTGAATCGGGTGATTCAGAGGATTTCAGAGTCTGAAAGCCTCTATGCGACCCTCTGAAAGCTCTGATCAAGAATTGGAGGAACCATTGTTCACAATGGTTCGTTTTTCTCCTAAGAAGGAAGAGGAGAGTGTTGAAGACTTAAGGATAATTCGTAGGTCACAGAGAGCCACAAAGGCAAACCTCCAAAGAGATTTGCTGATGAGTTTGCTAAGATAGCAGTAACAGCTGTTAAAAGCTCCAAGAAGGTATTTGAACCTTCAAGTTTCCAAGAAATCCAGGGTTTGGATTCAAAGGAAGCTAAGCCATGGTTAAATGCCATGAAGGCTGAGCTTGATTCCTTAGAAAGGAACAAAACATGGGAGCTAGTTCCAGTAGTTCCAGGAATGAAACTGCTTGGAAGCAAATGGGTCTTCAAAGCGAAGACAGATCAAAATGGCAAGATAGTCAGACACAAAGCCAGATTGGTAGCCAGAGGTTTTGCACAGGTACCAGGTCAAGACTATCACGAGACCTATTCACCCACAGTGAGATATGAAAGCATTAGGCTTATGCTCAAACTAGCTGCAGAGGAAAATCTACACATTAGTCACCATGATATTAATACAGCTTTTCTGTACGGATCTCTAGATGAATCACTTTATATGCTTCCACCTGATGGCGTACAGGTAAAACAGGGATTTGTTTGTGCTCTGAAGAAATCCCTTTATGGTCTCAAACAAAGTGCACGGTGTTGGCACACAAAACTCACTGAAGTATTGTTTTCTCTAGGTTTTCAGCAAGTGAAAGCTGATCCATGTGTATTTGTCAAAGAGGAGGGGCAAAAGAAACTGTACTGTTTGTTTTATGTTGATGATTTATTATTCTTTTGGAAGGATGTTGCAATGTACAATAGCGCCCTAGCTCAACTGAAAGAGCACTTTGACATGAAAGATCTTGGTGAGGTAAACAACTACCTATCTCTGGAAATAGAGAGAGATCAAGATGGTAACATTCTAGTACACCAGTCACGGAAAATTGCTGATGTGTTAAGCAAACTAAATCTGATGGATGCTAACCCTGTAGACACACCGATGACAACAGGTTATCAGGTAGATGACACTGAAGAAGCATTTTCTGACACTACACTGTACAGGAGTGTGCTAGGCAAGCTAAACTTCATTGCCAGATGTTCAAGACCAGACATTGCTGTTAGCTGTAATTTGCTAAGCAGACAAGTCAACAATCCTAGTGTCAAGCATTGGAAAGCTCTGAAACGCATAGCGCGGTATTTGAAAGGCACTATGCATTACAGACTGAGATTTAACAATCAAAAGTCTGGTGGTCTTGAGATATTTGCAGATGCAAGTTTTGGAAGTGACGCTACAGACAGGAAAAGTACGTCTGGAGTTTGCTATATGTACAATCAGAGTCTGTTTGATTGGTCATGCAAGAAGCAAACAACAGTTAGCTTAAGTACTTGTGAAGCCGAACTGAATGCACTGTCTTATTCACTTAAGGATTGTGAATGGTTAGTACAATTGTGCAAAGATATGAAAATTCCTGTCAAATGTCCAATCCAGGTTTACCAGGACAACAAAGCATGTTTGGCTTTGCTGAAGTCTGAAGGTTGTAAGCAAAGCACAAAGCACTTGCAATTAAAGTTGCAGCATGCTAGGGAATGTATTCAGAAGGGACTCGTAACGGTGTCCTATATGCCAGGTAATGAAATTCCTGCTGATGTATTGTCCAAGATTGTATCAAGGGATCAACACTGTACCTATGTGCAGAAGTTGGGTTTGTACTGATATTGTGCAAACACGCTGCCCAGTGATGTGCACAGAACGGGGGAGGAGGTTGGTTTCTGCTTTCCTTCACTGTGCAGCTCTGCTTGTCCCGAGACAGGTGTTGACAGTCCACAGTCTGGACTGTTGGAGTGTCTCGCGGGAAAGGAGACTGGATGTGACGTACACTGGTTTCCTGTTTTTCACTGTGTGATTCTCTCCGAGCTGTCGAGGAGAGAGGATGCATTTTCTGCTCCGGCAGAGGCAAGATGTCTTTCTGTAATATACCAGCTTTGAACTGTAAATAAAGCAATATAGAGTATGCAGCACGTATTCCTCATCCTTCCGCTGGGCACCAGACTCTGCTTTAAATCAACACTGACATAGCTGTAAGCACTAACCTGCTTAGCAGACATGCCAACAATCCTACTGTTCAGGATTGGAAAGCTCTGAAGCGCATAGCCCGCTATTTGAAGGGTACTTTGCACAGACTGAGGTTCACAAATCAAAAGACTGGAGGTCTTGAGATTTTTGCAGATGCTAGTTTTGGAAGTGACACAATGGATGGTACCAGCACTTCTGGAGTATGCTACATGTACAACCACTGTCTGTTTGACTGGCTTTGCAGGAAGCAGACGACAGTAAGCCTAAGTTCCTGTGAGGCAGAACTCAATGCCCTGTCATTTTCACTCATGGATTGTGAATGGTTGATGCAACTGTTTCAGGACATCTGAGTTTCTGTGAAATGTCCTGTACAGGTGTATCAAGCTAACAGATCCAAGATAACAGATCCAGAGAGCTGTAAGCAAAGAACCAAATACTTGCAGATTAAGTTACATTGTGCAAGAGAGTGTATTCAGAAAGGACTCATTCAGGTGTCCTACATGCCAGGAAACGAAATTCCTGCAGATCTGTTGTCTAAGGTTGTTAACAGAGAACAACTTAAGGTTTATTTACAGCAGTTGTAATTGGGTTAAAACACAGGTAATACAGGTTACACGGAAAGGGGGAGGATGTTAGGATATTGATGGTCTGTTCCACCTCAAGAGGAACAGATATGTGGAGTTGTTGTATGTCACATGTCTGTTTACTTCCAGCACAGCCTGCTGGGAACTTCCGTTGTGTATAGCTTTTGCTTATGCTCTTTGCTTGGACACGAAGGGGAGCAGACATGTTTTTTTTCCTTTGTCCTGATGTATGCTGAATAAACTGCTTGTAAATACGCTTTACATATGCCTCTATCTGCCCTTCCATTGCGAAGAGTTTGTTTACTCTGCTTTTTTTTTGCTTTTTTTTTAAATGATATTTATTAAGATTTCCAATAAAAAGAGCACATCAATGAAAAAATTAAACATAAAAACATATAAAAGAAATACACAATTCAAAAATACACAATACATAATCCAGAAAGGAAAAAAAAAACCAAAGACAAAAAAGAAAACAGTTAAAAACAATACCTCCTTTTCATCTCCATTTTTAAATTTACTTATTTTCTGGACCTCCTCATACCTCCCTCTTTTGTATTCCAGTTCAAATTGTTTGTCCAGCAATTTCTTTCCCTCTTTTTTAATCCCAATCTTTAATCTTAATATAATATAACATTAAAATTTTACCTCTTAAAAACCAAGTTTCCATTTCCTTAAACTTTTTTTAATCCTAATCCTTAATCTTAATCTATATATAACTTTAAATACTGTACAGCTGGAAGCCACTTATTTTCAATCCAACATCACTCTAGCATTCTTTAATTTTGCAATGTTTCTGCAGATAGTCTTTGAATTTCTTCCAATCTTCCTCCACCGACTCTTCTCCCTGGTCACGGATTCTGCCAGTCATTTCCGCCAATTCCATATAGTCCATCAGTTTCATCTGCCATTCCTCCAGTGTGGGAAGCTCTTGTGTCTTCCAATACTTTGCGATGAGTATTCTTGCTGCTGTTGTTGCGTACATAAAGAAAATTCTATCTAAAGGAAAGTTTGTTTACTCTGCTGGCTTGCGTGCTCAGCTTCTGAAAGGCTTCTGAAGCTCTGAGTCGTAGTTTTGACACTGATCCAAGGACCGGAGTTCTCCCTGCTGCCGGCCGGTGGGCTGGAGCCAGCTGGGGGCCTGCCAATTGCCCCTGTTCCCTTGGACGCATCCCAAAAGCCTACTGGCTTCTGTTTTGCTCTGGTATTCCTGGCTGGTGTCCTTGTTTTTTTTGTCCAAGGGAGCCCTCAGATTTCTCCGTTAACATTGGTAGGCGAGATCTGCAGTCCAGTAAGGCTGGTAAGCCTGAAGTTAGTTTTCTGTGGAGTTAAAAGCAGGAGTGTTTGCCTACCCCTATTGGAACAGTATGGAATGGCAGGCTGTGCAGTCAGTTTTGAGTACAGTTCAGTACATAGCTGTTAAATCTCCAGGGACATAGGGAGTGATGTCTGTTATTTACAGAGAAGTGAAGTGATGTTTGTTAGGGGGGCTTTGCTCTATCTGTGTCATTGGAAGCAGACCTGTTTTGGGGGAGTTATCTTCTTAGGCTGGTATGTTAGAGGCCAGAAGAGGCTTCATCTCTGTCTCCTAAAGGCAGTGTCAGTTTTTTTCTCCCAAGTGTAAAGGGAGGTGGAAGGTCAGAGAGAGAGGAAAGGTAATGGTTTTTCATGTGTATCACAAAGTTCTTCTTTTGCCTCGCCAGGAAGTAGCGATGTGTGGCAAGGAAACTTGCAATTCTAAAGTAACAGGCCAGAATAGCTGTGAAAAGTATGCGCAAGTGTTTTCATGGTTCTTTGACCATGGACTGTGTCTTGCAAAAGGCAAGATGATTCTTTTAAAATGAGATTCAGAAGCAATACAAAATACACAAGTGAGTGAGAGTAGATATTTTATTCTAAAACAGCAAGCAATGTATACATACCAAGCAAGCACTTCAATCTGCCAATTGGAAGCCCTCAAGTGGCAAAGCAACTTCAAAGAAACTCTGCTCAAACCGTCTGATTTTATAGATAGCCTGTGTGGCTTCCAAGACTGGCTACATGCAGATCATCCACTAGCCACCCCTTTCCAATGCCTCACTTTCTCAAAACCATGTCCAACATCAAAGAAGGTACCCGGCATTATCTTTCACAACTGATTAAGGCAGCTGGGGGGGGGGCTTCACCTCCTCCCAACGTTCTCAGGACATTAAAGACT